ACTGGGAGAAAACAAGCTGTTCGCAGTCCATTATGATTATGAATGGTGATCATAGCGGTGGCGTGACCGGAAGTACCGCTTCCCTACTTCCAGTCTCGGTCGCCATGTTGTGAAATAGGCCTAATGCATAGGCATTCTAGGCACGTGCCTATGCTTGCTCGTCCAGGGGGGGCCCCAAACACAATGAAGAGATATATATTTTTTGTTATACCATGGGCTATCTACAACAGTAAAAGAACCAAAACACCAGAAGACATTGAGCAAATAAATATAACAAACAATAGGATAAAAAAATTACAATCCATGTCTTCCACCTTATTACGTACGGAAATCATGCTTTCTTTTCCCTCACAGATGCACACACAGTACAGACACGCACTCGCACACACACGCGGAGACTTGTCATCAGCGCTGCCCCGCAAATTTATCAGTAAAATAGTTTTTGCAGCTGAAAAGCTACATGACATTTCTCAGTAGGGAGTTTCTTGAAGCAGATCAACTTTAAGATTCGCTGTTAGTAGATGCTGCTGCTGAACACTACTGAGAGACACACAGACGCAGAGGTGAATAGAGGTATTCACATGCACTTAATCTCTCCCCCGCTCTCTCTCTCTCTAATAACTGCATTAGCCTGCATATCAATGGCCCAAGCCTCTGTTATTAGCTCTAAAATTACGCTTTGGAATTTGCAACGGAAGGTTTATCTTGAAATAAATCATCTGAACAATATCTCGAGGTGTGGTTGTGACACCAGGCTGTTAAAATTATTAGAGAAATAATGCACTCCTGAAGTGGTTATGTGGCCACGACGCTGGAGCATATTAAAGGGCACGGTCTTTCTCCATTCTCAAACAAATGAAGACACTAGATTTTTATTGACTGAATGCAAGCACTTATTGCGATAGAAAACACTGTAACGGTTTCCATTGATTACGAAATATTTTTGTTTGCTGGGGTGGTAATATTATATAGGCCTATTAATGAGGAAGGGGGGGGGGCAAAATTTGTGTGTGTGTGTGTGTGTATATTTCACATATTTATTTAACCATCTTCATTTAGTGTACACTGTGGCTGTTTAGTAAAATATGATTTTATAACAATCATGAATTTTAATATCACTCACTTTAATGTTTTTACTATACCGTTGGTATGGTATTTTTTGTTTAAACTGTTTTGCCTCAGTTTTTGAAAAAAAAAAGTGAAAGATTTTTGCCATCTACTGGAAAACACCTTTAAAATTTAAATAATGTGGAATTTCAACACTGACTAGATGAACATCCTGAGTGACTTTATTACACTAATGTACAATCAGACATTCCAATTTCTGTTTGTGTGTGTGTGTGTGTGTGTGTAGATGTAGTTAGTGAAAAAAGTAATAAAGTGTCATGTCAATTAGATGAAGGGAACACTTTTTTAAAATTTATTCAAGCAAATGTCATTTGAGGTCCTGAAATACCCTGAACACTGCACAGAGGTTAAAATGACTATTACTACTTAAATAAATAATGTCATTAAGCACAGAAAAGCATTTTGAATCCCATTCCCTTTTGTTTTAATCCTAACTGCTGAAAGTGCTTCCTTACTAAATTATTCAGTTGCTATTTCTATGGACTGTGAGATAACTAATAGGCTACGCTGAAAACCATTTTATCAAAAAAGGTACTATTCAACATTAAGTCCTGTATGTATTTATCTCAAGCTGATGTGGTTCCTCACACTTTCTTAACGACCTATAACATCTGGTCCTATTTACCACTTTCCCAGCAATAATATTTGAGACTGAAGTGTCCAACACACACACACACACACACAGTTAACAAGAAATTAGTTATTAAACCGCTTTGAAAATCATCCATAAAACCATAAAAGTGATCAATTCAAAAACGCAGTGTCATGGCAACTGGCTCATTATACATACCTTGATAATCCAAAAATAATTGCTCAAAGAATTTGTAGCCTTTGTCCAATTTGGATCTTTTCATATCTTCCTGAAAATTGTCAACAAAACAGACAACATCTGCCATTCTGACTTTTGGCAGATAATTTAAGGACTGGGAGAAAACAAGCTGTTCGCAGTCCATTATGATTATGAATGGTGATCATAGCGGTGGCGTGACCGGAAGTACCGCTTCCCTACTTCCAGTCTCGGTCGCCATGTTGTGAAATAGGCCTAATGCATAGGCATTCTAGGCACGTGCCTATGCTTGCTCGTCCAGGGGGGGCCCCAAACACAATGAAGAGATATATATTTTTTGTTATACCATGGGCTATCTACAACAGTAAAAGAACCAAAACACCAGAAGACATTGAGCAAATAAATATAACAAACAATAGGATAAAAAAATTACAATCCATGTCTTCCACCTTATTACGTACGGAAATCATGCTTTCTTTTCCCTCACAGATGCACACACAGTACAGACACGCACTCGCACACACACGCGGAGACTTGTCATCAGCGCTGCCCCGCAAATTTATCAGTAAAATAGTTTTTGCAGCTGAAAAGCTACATGGCATTTCTCAGTAGGGAGGTTCTTGAAGCAGATCAACTTTAAGATTCGCTGTTAGTAGATGCTGCTGCTGAACACTACTGAGAGACACACAGACGCAGAGGTGAATAGAGGTATTCACATGCACTTAATCTCTCCCCCGCTCTCTCTCTCTCTAATAACTGCATTAGCCTACATATCAATGGCCCAAGCCTCTGTTATTAGCTCTAAAATTACGCTTTGGAATTTGCAACGGAAGGTTTATCTTGAAATAAATCATCTGAACAATATCTCGAGGTGTGGTTGTGACACCAGGCTGTTAAAATTATTAGAGAAATAATGCACTCCTGAAGTGGTTATGTGGCCACGACGCTGGAGCATATTAAAGGGCACGGTCTTTCTCCATTCTCAAACAAATGAAGACACTAGATTTTTATTGACTGAATGCAAGCACTTATTGCGATAGAAAACACTGTAACGGTTTCCATTGATTACGAAATATTTTTGTTTGCTGGGGTGGTAATATTATATAGGCCTATTAATGAGGAAGGGGGGGGGGGCAAAATTGTTTTGCCTATGTCACGATAAGAGGTAAATCCGGCCCTGATTGTAAGTTAATGTTGTTAAATAGAGAAACAAAATTATACATTTTTAAAATGTCTATAACTTCTAGTGCCTTATAAGAAGAGCAGGAAGAAGCCCTTTTGGTGGTGTGATATTTAATTTTATTTGCTAGGCTGTTGCTGATTTGTAAGATTATTACTCCATAATATTGTTTAATTTATGTACATATTTTTTTGCCTCCCATGGGATTATGACGTGCAATGACTTTGTTTTTATTTCATCACGAGTACATCGCGTGCATCTTTATACAGTGTTTAATCGCATTTTAGATTGGCGTGCAAGACAAGACAAAGCATTTAAGGAAGTTTTCCTCCAGGACTTCAACAGGATAGATGTAACAATTTGTTATGAACTTGTACATTCAATGTCAAGGCGGTTCAGCGTTGTATACTTAAAGTTATGGAGGATATATGAAGTATTAAACTATTACATGTTTGGTGGGTTGTACTCATTTCTGAAATGCAAGCTAGTGTTAGAGGTCTTTTTTGCTTTTGTTAATTGTGTAATAAAGTAAAAGAAAACAGATAAATACAAAAAGATTACAAAGCAAGTGTTATTTTAAAAAAACTTTTTTTTAAATAAAACAAGCAGCAAATGAATAGAGTGCAAGTCTAAAGGGGACAAGTGTTTTTTTTTAAAGAATAGAATTAGAATAGAGAGTGCTAGAGTTAGAGGGTCAAATAAAGATGGAAGAGATGTGTTTTTAGCTGATTCTTAAAGATGGTTAAGAACTCAGCTGCTGGGATTGAGTTGGGCAGGTCATTCCACCAGGAGGGAACAGTTAATTTAAAAGTCCGTAAAAGTGATTTTGTGCTTTTTTTGGGATGGCACAATAAAGCGATGTTCACTTGCAGAACGCAAGCTTCTAGAGAGCACATAAGTCTGAAGTAATGATTTTAGGTAAAGGGGTGCAGAGCCAGTGGGGGTTTTGTAGGCAAACATCAATGCCTTGAATTTTATGAGAGCAGCTATTGGTAGCCAGTGCAAATGGTGTGACATGTTCTTTTTGGCTCATTAAAAATGTATCTTGCTGCTGCGTTCTGAATTAAATTGTAGAGGTTTGATAGAACTGGCTGGAAGACCTGCCAAGAGAGTATTGCAATAGTTCAGCCTGGACCGAACAAGAGCTTGAACAAGGAGTTGTGAAACTTGTTCCGAAAGAAAGGGCCTGATCTTCTTGATGTTGAATAAAGCAAATCTGCAGGACCGGGCAGTTTTAGCAATGTAGTCTGAGAAAGTCAGCTGATCATCAATCATAACTTCAAGGTTTCTGGCTGTTTTTGAAGGAGTTATGGTTGATGTGCCTAACTGGATGGTGAAATTGTGATAATTTTAATTGAAAAAACCCATCGTTTCAACCTTGTAAAACCGGACACAAAATAATATTAAGTAATTTGCATCACTGAAGACAAACCGGAGTTTCAATGTAAAATTAAAAGGTAAAAGTACCAATTTAATTTCCAAATAAGTATTTCCTTATGATTCCAAACTCTAATCAGTAGTGTACATTAGGTTTTACGCATTTGTTGTATTTAAGGGCTCCATTTGACTGGAATCCAAAAGGTTATTGTAAAAAGTGGGCTTTTAATTTGGTTTCATTCCAAGGTCTTCAAAGTTTGGCTTCTTCAGTGATTATATGCATTCTATATTAAATAGACAACTATTTGAGAATTCCAGTTTAATATTTATTTTCAAAAGATTCTTAATAAAACAAAAATTAACAAGTCAAAAATTTTTTTTGGAAAAGAACACTTAAAACCAAAAACAACAAATTTCCAAATACAAGAGAATGTCCACTGAGCACTAAATGGATTACCAAAATAGAAAATTAAACAATTACAACATTTAGATTTTCTTTTGCAACAAACAAAAAAGGAAAAAGTGGAAAGAACTCAATGTTGAATTCAGTTATACTGCCAAAACCTCTTTTAAAAAACTTCTTTAAGAAGCTGTCAAAACCTGTGCTATCACAAAAACACCAGAACCTGTTGAAAGCATTTTTACAATAACACTCAAAACAGTAAGGAAAACAGTGTATTTAAACAATTCAGCTGCTCAGGAGTTCTCTCATAGATCCTCGGATATTAGCGTAGTTGCTCATGACATTTCAGTATCCTCAATTTTCATCACCTTTTTAGGGGTTCCTGTAAATGAGTCCTGCAACACAAGATGACAAAGTTGTGGGGGAAAAAAACTTTGAAATGACATTTCATTACCATTTTAGTTGGAATATTTGTCAGAGTATTAATGCCCATCCCTAGTCAACGATCACACTATAGATGTACTGTACAAGACCAACCAAAAATAATGATTTTTTCCAGTGATGCTTCGACATTATCTTGTTTGTATGCAAGTCTTCATCCCACGTAAGACTAACTTATTTCACCTGTTTTACCCAGACTTTAAACGGTCTGATTGCATATTTTTAATCCGCTAGCCCATTAGACCACCTCTCACCTGGGAGTGCAGTGTGATTCTGTGAATGTTTGGAAATCAATGCTGTAATATTTAACATCAGCAATTTGATTTAATTAAGTTTTGTAAACTCAAATTGTGAAAGTTTGTTACAGAGACTTTGAGCAGCCCTAGCAAAAGGCACACTGTGACTCAATAACATCAAGGTTGATGGACAACAACCTCTTAAATAAACCAAATATCAGTCCCTCCAGTTTTCATGAGTATATTTCCAAATAAAATGGCAAAAAGCGCAGTACTTAAGTTACTGAGTAAATTAGTGTGACAAAGAAACATGCATGAATGAGAAAAAGCACAGGACATGGTGGAGGTTAAAATAAAATATAAGCACAATAATTGGAACTGGATGGCAGCATAACAAGCCTACTGCTGTATCAATAATGTTAATCAAACAAAAGACAAAATTACTCAATGAAATTTGAAACAAAATAATGAATCAAAATAACATTTGTAGCTTTACTATGAATCAGTGTATATTTAATTTATACAGTGAAGAGGCAGTATTTTTTTAAATTTCTGTAGTATTTTGACCTAAAAACTAAATATACCTGAAAAATGAACTTTGTTCTAGTGCTTATAATTTCCTTCTTTGTTCTTAAAAATAAATAAAAATAAATATATCTTATTTAAAAGTTGTCAAGAACTGTGCACACAAAATGAATGTAGCCTAATCATACTGTATAAAAACATGGACGTAGTGTCCGTGACGTCACCCGTAGATTTCCGAAGAGCGTTTTTGAACCTCAAAAGTGGGCCACCTTGGCATCACGGCACTCCCGGATAATCGAAAATGGGCAAAGAGGCGGGAGCAGGTTGCTGAAGCCATGCCCGCCTAGCTCGACGGTGGTGACAGCAGCAGCAATCCACCTGTCACTCAAGTGGCCACGTCCTTAATTATGCAGAACTTTAAGGCTTAATATAACTTAAACAGATGAGTTATAAAAAACAATTCACCCCCCTCACAGTTGTCATGAAGGGCAAAATTAGCTACATAGACCAAAATCATTTTTTAACCAAGCTGTAAACATGTTTTTTTCTGCTGTAAAGTTGGACATGTTAACATGGAGAGTCTATGGGATTGACTCCCTTTTGCAGCCAGCCTCTAGCGGCCAGTTGATTAATTACAGTTTAAGTCACTTCCTTGTTGGCTTCATGAGAGAGAGCGGGAGGTTGCCGCTTGAGCCTAATACATAATATGGTAAATGTGATTGACAAAAGTCACCATAAAAATCAGTCATTAAAAAATAAACATACAGGTGCATCTCAAATTAGAATGTCGTGGAAAAGTTAATTTCAGTAATTCAACTCAAATTGTGAAACTTGTGTATTAAATAAATTCAATGCACACATACTGAAGTAGTTTAAGTCTTTGGTTCTTTTAATTGTGATTTTGGCAACTTTTCCACAACATTCTAATTTATTAAGATGCCCCATACAAATATTGTGAAATCCATGTGAGACTGATCTTGCTTGGAAGGGGGTAGTAAATTGTGAAAATTACCTCTGCCAAAGACAGCGATACTCCACTGGATGTTGGACACTTGGATTCAGTATCCACTGAACATTCCACATCCAACTCAAAGTCCATTATTTCACCAAGGTCAATCACTTCTCTGTTACAATCACAGCAGGAGTTAAACGAACAATGAAATGCATTAAAAAAAAAAAAAAAACTTAAAACAACAATTAATCATTGTGTTGCCACTATGCTCAACTATTCGTAAAAAAATTATCATTCCTTTAGGAAATTATAGCGGTTTAGTTTATTTGGACATCATAAAGCTTACATCTGCTGCACATCGCTTCCCTCTTCTGCAGGAGGATCCCAAGCGTGAAGTTTGACCCGCCACAGTTTAATCTGCTGGTCCCAGGAGCGTCGGCTGTACTTCTTGAATTTGTTTGGAGTCTTTGGATGAACACCAGGCTGTCTCATATGCCTCAAATAATGGTTAAAAATAATGTTAAATACTTTTACAGCCTTATATAATCTTACAGTTAATCACAGACAATAGGTCATAGCAGTATAATAAATTTAGTTTAAAACAATAATCTTGATCTCACTCACTTGGGAACTTCTTTAATGTATCCGTCATATGCGAGAGTGTTTTTCCCATAATTTATCTGTTTTTGTCTTCTTATGAGTGTGGCCTCGTCTGTCTCGATGTCTCCTTTAACAGAAGACTCTTTGGAATCTCTAGAGTCTCTGGAGTCCGAACTGGGGGAACATGAAAAGCTTGGGTTACAACTCAAATCATGACTGTTGTACAAGTGACACCTAATGGAACTGTTTAAAAAAAAAAAAAAGGAGAAAAAAAAAAGGAAAAAAAAAAAAAAAAAAAAAAAAAAAAAAAAAAAAAAAAGAGGCGGCCAGTTTTTCTCAAACGAATCGATTGGTACAAATTGTGCAATGACAATGAGATTCAATTTGCAACTCCATGGTTAAAAAAAAAAAAAATTTCCAAGAAAGATTTATAAATACATTAAACAATACACCACAGAAGAAAACTGTATGTGTATGTATTGCACATATGTAAATATTGCATATTTCCATAGTGTTTGAAAAAGTCCTGTGTGTAATTTATGCATTTCGTTCTCTAATTGCACTTGGATAAAAACGGTTCATAAGCCTGGAGGTGCGAGCCTGAATAACCATGTAACGCCTCGCAGAAGGTAACAATGTGAATAGGGTGTTTCCTGGATGGGAACAATCTTGAAATACAGCTGCAAGCAGCGATGGGGGGCCCAAGCCATCAGTGCAAACGCCACCCCGGTGGCATCAGGGGAACGGTGCACAGCGGGCACATTTTCAGTGGCCCCCGAGCATGATTAAATTATGACACTTAGCAACAGTTAGGATAACGAACTTTAAAGATATGAGAGGTCTATATGCTGGGGTGAGACTGGGCCAAGTGAGGGCGGGTAGAGACTTTGGCCCAATCCCAATTCTACCTCTTAGCCCTTTCCCCTACCCCTCCGTTTCGCACGTTCACGTGAAGGGGTAGGGGTGTCTCGATTTTCTTTTGGTTGGAGGGGTAGGGGTAGGGGAAGGGCTAGATAGCCCTTCAAACGAAGATTTTTCGGGACCACACTTCAAACGAAGGGGTATGAACTATCTCATTGTAAACCGACTTCAGTGGCAACATGGCTGCCCGGGCGAATAAAACCCCCCCCACAAATGTAAGCATTTTTGGCATTAATAAGGATTTTAACGAAAAGTAATCATTTGTTTTATGTTCCATTCAATCGGGAGTTCATATTTATGGTCATGTTACTCAAAGAAATGCTTGCAAAAAATCGCTCAAGTTTGCTAACGTCATATTACTGCACGATAGTGCCACAACACATTTTCATGTCTGATCAGGACGAAAACCACTGTAGACATTGAGGGGGGCTAGTCCCCCCAATATTTAGAAACCACTAAACCCTTTTCTCAAATATTGCCCGAAAACCACCGTAGACATTGAGGGGGGCTAGTCCCCCCAATAATTAGAAACCACTAAACCCTTTTCTCAAATATTGCCAATTC